TATAGATGCTTCCACTCGCCCCTCCGGCGGGCGCTTCTGAATCATATTCACGATCTCGAAAGATGTTGGCTCATGTGTGTGTGTTTCGATCGGAACGTCTTCGGTCCTTCAGAAGAGTGTTCCCTCTGCACCTTCGGACACGTTTCAGAATTGGCACATTGCTTTCATCGTGTGGAATAGCGCTCTTGCCCCAGCGCGGTCCACGCTTGCGCATCGGATTCCTCCTTGGTCGTTGCGGCTCGTTCCCTCTCCCCTCCTGCGCCTGACCTGCTGCTGCGGCTGCTGCTCCCCTCCTCCACGAAGACACCTTTCGCCGGTCGTACAGCAAACACAAGGTCAAGTCCTGCACACCCCATTTTGGGATCGGGGTCTTTTAGGACACCCCATTCGGCGGACAGAAAACGGTTCAACGCAGTGGGGAGAGATGGGCGGGAAGGTTAGGACGATACATGCGACGCGAGCGCACCGAGGTTACAGTCGACCCGCAGAGTAAGGATAGGCGTCCCTCCCAAGGGTACCCTCGCATCCTTGCTTCCTGGGTCCCTCCTTTGACGTTTTCGTTGGCCGCGCCCCGCTCGAAACGCTTCGAGATGGGCGTCCAAGGGCCTTGCATCCTTATCGCGCATCCTTACTCTGCGGGTTGGCTGTACCCCTCTACTTCCCCGCTCCCCCCTCCGCCACCCTGCCTTCGCGTCGTCGCTTCGCTCGCGCCACCCCGGGCCTCCCCTCCCCCTCCCTGCCGCGCCCTCTCCCGCCCTCTCCCGCCCCCGCCCCCTCCCCCCTCCCCGCCCCCCTCCAATATGCCCACGATTGCCTCCAACATTCCCCAAGAGGCCTCCAAGATGCCTCGAGAGAGTTTCAAGAACCCTCACGGGAGGCCGCGGCTCGAGTCATTGATTTCAGACAAGTTTTTTGGACTGATGTTAGCGATCTCGCCTTTTCGGGCTCCCTACTCTCCTGGCCCCCACGAGTGCCCCCCAGACTGCCCAAGACAAGCCAAGATGCCCCCAGGACGGCCCACCCCTCCCAACTCCTCGCTCGTCCGCCGCTCCCCCCCCCCCTTCTCGAGCTCTACTCCCCGCTCACAGTCCGCCACCCCCCGTCCCTTTCCGCCCCGCGCCCCCCCCCCCCCCCTCCCCCTCCCCTGGCCTGCTCCCCCTTCACCCTTCCCCCCCTTCCGCTCCTCCCCCGCCCGCCCGCCCCTCCCCTTCACCCCCTCCCCCCCTCCGCTCCTCCCCTTTCCGCCGTCCCCCCCCTCCCCCCTCTCGAGCCTCATTCCACAATTAAGCAATCTGAATCCTACTCTCCTCTCTCCCATGGTTGCGTCCGGCGAATGGCCGGCCCCCCTCCGCGCATGGTTCCGTGGAAGCGTGTTTTCGCTTGTTTTTGTTGATGTTTTTTTTCTTTTCTTTCCGAAATGCTGCTCTGGGTGAAGCGCTGGCTTCATTTTCGGGCTACCGCTCGTTCCGAATCGTGCTCCCGCTGCAGCGCTGGCCTCATGTCCGCGCTTCCGCGCTTGTTGTTGTTGTTGTTGTTGTTGTTGTTGTTGTTGTTGTTGTTGTTGTTGTTGTTGTTGTTGTCGTTGTCGTTGTCGTTGTCGTTGTCGTTGTCGTTGTCGTTGTCGTTGTCGTTGTTGTTGTTGTTGTTGTTGTTGTTGTTGTTGTTGTTGTTGTTGTTGTTGTTGTTGTTGTTGTTCAGAAATGCTGCTCTCGTTTTAGCGCGGGCCTCATTTTCGGGCTACCGCTCGTTCCGAATCGTGCTCCTGCTGCAGCGCTGGCCTCATTTCCGCGCTTCCGCTCGTTCCGAATCGTGCTCCCGCTGCAGCGCTGGCGTCATTATTTCCAGCGCCATGCGATATCGATCCTTCCCAAAAGGCCCCAAATCTAGGGAACTCCAAACCGAAAAAACCATCGGAAGTCATTCGGTGTCGATCCGTTGATTTTTTGCGCTGCAGAAGCCCCCCACTGTGAGGCGTCGCAACGCCATGCTATGTCAGGCTACGCGTCCTCATTTCCGCGCTTCCGCGTGTTCACTTTATTTTACTTGTTTTTCAAAATGCTGCTCTCGCTGAAGCGCTAGCCTCAATTTCGGGCTACCGCTCGTTCCGAATTGTGCTCCCGCTGCAGCGCTGGCGTCATTATTTCCAGCGCCATGCCGCGGCATGGTTTGCGGTCCTTCCAAATAGGCCCCCAAACCAATAAAACTGCTTCCCGGAGAAACCATCGGAAGTGAGTACACATTCGGTGCCGATTCTTTGATTTGTTGGGCCTCAGAAGCCCCCCTCATTTTGGGGCGTCGTCACGCCATGCTACGTCATGCTACGCGTCAATCTTCAACACTATGCTACGCCATGCAATGCTATGCCATGTTGCGACATCCGATTGTGCGAGTAGGGAGGAGATCTGCGCCATGGTAAGGCATGGGAGGGAGGGGCAGGCCGCCAGATATGACGCGAGCGCACCTCGCTTGCCTCTCCCCCATTCCCCTCCGCCCCGCCGTG